GGGTGAGAGAGAAATTAGGAGGGGGGAAGAGAAATTAGGAGTGAGGGAGAGATATTAGGAGGAGGGAGAGATATTAGGAGGGGGGAAAGAGAAATAAGGGGGGAGAGAAATTGAAATTAGGAGGGGGGAAAAGATATTAGGAGGGGGGAAAGAGAAATTAGGAGGGGGGGTGAGAAAGAGAAATTGGGAGGAGGAGAAGGAAATTGGAGCGGGAGGAGAGATTGACATTCATCACATACACACAATGCACCCCTTGCACACAGAAAAACACACAATGCATTACAAACACAGACACACATACACAAGCAATGCAACCGTTACACACAATGCATCCCTTACACACACAGAAACACACAATGCATTCATTACACACACTCAATGCACCCTTTACACACATTCAATGCATCCCATACATACACAGAAACACACCTTGCAGCCCTTACACATACAAACACAATTTCACACAATGCATTCCTTACACACATATCAGGACATCCCCTACACACTCCACCCCCCTGTGAACTCATTGGTGGAACATGAAGGTGGACCCTGGTACCCAGACCTTGAGCTGTGTAAAGGACCCCCAAAAAAATGGAGCTGCTTCCCGTTCTCCCAGAACATTGATTTTTGTGACCACAGTTACAAACCGCCTCCAGAGAGCCTGTTCTACACCAGACCAGTGGAGCCAGACTAGAGCCCATCATCATCCTCATCTGGCTGTGCAGGCAATCTTAGTATTCGTGGCACTAAGCTCTAATTTACCTCACATTAAAGGGACACTATAGTCCCCAGAACCACTGCAGCTTAATGTAGTGGTTCTGGTGTCTATAGCCTGTCCCTGCAGGCCTTTTAATGTAAACACGGCGGCACTGCAGCACTGGCGTTAGTTAACATGGCAAATCATATGGGTGGGGCATTGTGATGTCACATGGGGGGGCGGCAAACTTTACTTTTGCCTAGGGCGGCAAAAATCCTTGCACCGGCCCTGGCTGGAGGGGGCTGTGTGAGCTGTGGCCGCACAGTGTCCCATGGTAGTTAGGGTGCCGTGCGGCCAGTACAGCTCACACAAGCAAACAGCTGATAAACTGGCCGCACGGAGGAAATGTGTATGTGTGACTGTCTGCCTGTGACTGTATGTGACTGTCTGCCTGTAACTGAGTGTGTGACTGTCTGTAACTGAGTGTGTGACTGTCTGCCTGTAAATGTGTGTGTGGGGCTGCAGGGATTTTGTAGAAGGGGGCGGGGGTTTTGTATTGGGACAGGAGTCTTTATAAGGGGGGGATAAGCAGGGGATTTGTGGAAGGGGGTTGCGGGGGTTTTGTAGACGAGGCAGTACAGGATTTGTAGAAGGGACAGGACAGAGGTTTTGTAGGAGGGGCAGGACAGGACAAAGAGAACCTTTTAAAACTTTTACAGTTTTTGGGGGTCCAAGCACAGGATCCGCCCCGGGTGCCAAATGCTCTAGGTACGCCCCTGCCTACCCCACATTTATACTCACACACTCTGCATCCAGTACACACACACACTCTGCATCTGCTATACACACTGCATCCACTACACTAACACACTGCATCCACTACACAGACAGACTGTATTTACTACACACACACAGACACTCTACATAGAAACATAGAATGTGACGGCAGATAAGAACCATTCGGCCCATCTAGTCTGCCCAATTTTCTAAATACTTTCATTAGACCCTGGCCTAATCTTATAGCTAGGCATAGCCTTATGCCTATCCCATGCATGCTTAAAACTCCCTCACAGTGTTAACCTCTACCACTTCAGCTGGAAGGCTATTCAATGCATCCACTACCCTCTCAGTAAAGTAATACTTCTTGGTATTATTTTTAAACCTTTGCCCCTCTAATTTAAGACTGTCCTCTTGTTGTGGTAGTTTTTCTTCTTTTAAATATAGTCTCCTCCTTTACTGTGTTGATTCCCTTTATGTATTTAAATGTTTCTATCATATCCCCCCGTCTCGTCTTTCCTCCAAGCTATACATGTTAAGATCCTTTAACCTTTCCTGGTAAGTTTTATCCTGCAATCCATGAACTAGTGTAGTAGCCCTTCTCTGAACTCTCTCTAAAGTATCAATAGCCTTCTGGAGATACGGTCTCCAGTACTTTCTTCTAAATTCTAATTCGTGGGTCTAATACAATATCATATTGATGTGACACTGGCATAATTTATAGAAGGTTGTACACATCTATAAGTGCTCCCGGTGCATTACTCGGGTTCGGATCTGATTATTATTATTATTTTTATTTTATTTGTGCATTTGGTAAACAAGGAGTAAGCCAGATTAGACTGTCCTTGATCTAAAAAAAATAAGGGGGTGGGGAGGGATATCTCTTGCTAGGCACATATAAATTAATACAGTAAACAAAACGTAACAGAGGAGTGGGACACGTACAGGCTTAGCGTCAATATATATTGCCTAGAAAGGGAAAGTGGTGGGCTGCTATCAGCCTACGTGGAACTAGGAAGCCATAGCCAAGTTAGTCAAATTAAGAGTTACGTCTTCATGCTGTAGTGAAATGGTAATAGCATTCCAAATGAAATGGAAATGGCATTCCAACCTCTTTTCGTCTTTTGTGTTGTTGGTGCTAAGGATAGATTTGTCGGTGAGTACACGCGTGATAGGCACGTCTGTGTATTTAAGTGGTCATAGCATGTAGGCTGAAGTGACAGGTTACTTTATTCATTCCAGGCGCCCAGATGTACTATGGTTAAAGGGACATCAGAAGAGAAAAGCAGGGATAGAGGCATTGTGCTATTTAGTGGCCTGTCAACAGTAGGCGATTGGGACAAGGGTTTTTCTGCGTGTGACTGAGGATATGCTTGTAAACTAGTGTGGGGGTGGGGGGAGAGGGGTGTGGGAGCTGTGCATGGTCTTAGACCG